ACATTCTCTTAATGAATAGAGGGATTTGTTCTAATGGTGTTTGTAAATAGGATATCATGTCCGCATCTTGTACAGCAATTAACCACTAGGAAGAATATGCAATATGCTAATTATTGAAGGTGTCCTACCAATTTGATTTGAAACTGTCTCATTGCTATTTGTTTCTCAATAAAATTATGGAAAAAAAAAAAAAGAAAAGCAAAATACACACAAAACAAAACAAAGGGCATGAGAATATATATATATTTTTTTTTTATATTTCCCTTTTGCTGTTTTGGTCTTTCTCATTTGGGCAGAAAAACCCAACTAGAATTAAGATTTCTTTGTCTACGTGAAGGCCAAATGACCTCAAACTTTGGAAGATGGTGATTTTCCTACTACACTTTACCTGTGAGATAAATCACATGACCAGATGTCTAAAGTCTGAGTTTGGGGCCTTGATCTCATGAGATGATCTGTCTGTCCTCTATCCCAACATCATACCTCCTAGTCATTACAGCTTTACCTCAAACTAATATCTCAGGGTACATAAATCTATCTGCTCTGGTGATCTGCAATGACTGTTGTATTATCTCTGTAGCATCTCTGACAGAATTTAGAATAAGCCTATTATTATCAATATCCATAAACACCCGCTGGGACTTTCCAAAAACTGGATGATTGAATTATTTAATCACTTTTGAAAAAAAAAAAACAAAAACAAACTTACCATTTATTGTATTTGGCCTTGTAATTCTGATTTGATAAATGTATTTGGCCCAATACATATATAGCAGGTATGTACTCTGACCCAGTATATATGTACTTATATTTCTCTCCATAACATTTTCTCAGTTTTCAGTAGAGGGTCTACATATTTTTTTGGACTTTTTACACAGCTGATACTGTCAGCTGCATGTAATAGTTTTATTTCTTCCTTTCCAATGTTTTTTGCTTTGTATTAGTTATCAAAAGAAAAATGGTGAATATATGATATCCTCATCTCATTCCCACTTCTAGAGGTGAGCTATCAATAATTTTACTGGGCCAGGGAGATAGCTCAGCTGCATACTTGGCAAGCACACGGTCCTGAGTCAGATCCCCAGCTCAAAAAAAAGAAATTACCATTAGACAAGACACTTGCTGTCTTATAAATTCTCTGTTTAATGTCTTCCAACTCATGGTTTTAAGTGTTCCTTTAAATTTTTAAAAAGCACAAAAAGGTTCTGCAATTTTATAAATCTTTTTTCTGTATGTAGGAAGATAGTATTTTCTAATGTTTATATATACATGATAAAGTATACTTATCTTCAAACATAAAAAGCATCCCTACCAAGTTGAAATACAGACCACTTGATTGTGACATGTTCCTGCTGGATCAAGTCACAAGTGGTACATGCATAGCTGTCCCATGTGATGTATAAACATGTTAATGTATTACCCTTCTTACATGTCACTGGACAGTATTCACTGTTTCTTTAAGATTTTATTTCTATGACAAGACAACAACAAACCGAGACCTTATCTCAAGAAACCAAAAAACAAACAACTCAACAAATTTTCTTTCTATTGGTGGGACTTTTCAGCTTGCTATCAAGGTTATATAAGTAGCCTCTTAAGACCTTTAAAAGAGTTTTTGTAAGATTTATGCTACTTGTTCCCTAAATGTTTGATTTAATACCGTGAGAAGTTTTCTTAGCCTGTTTCTGAGACAGACTTGCTCCACAGCTTAGGCTGGTCTCAACCTCAAGGTGCCTTCCTGTCTCAGCCTCCTGAGAGCTTGGGATCACAGGTGTGAGCTACAACACCCAGCAGTGTGGGAAGTTTCCTAACACAGACTCCACTTCAAAGTTAAATGTCTGTGTCATCTAAAATGGTACAAGCTTGTTCCTGTTAGCCTCTTTAATGTTTTGTTTGTAACACCTGTAGTATCTTCTCTTTGGTTTCTTACACTGATGATTTGTATTTTCTCCTTTTTTTGTGGTTTTGACAAGAGGCTTACAAATTCTATTCATCTCATCCAAGTACAAACTATTGCCTCCAGCCCAGGCCAGATTCT